AAAACAAAAAAAAACACAAACCACCTGTCATACTCAGATTAGTCCATGAATATGCAATAGGTGGGGGGAAAAAACAGACAGGTCAGATTGCAAAAATATCTACAGTGTCTTTACACCAGACCTCAACCAGGCCAAAGGCACCGGGCTTTACAGTGAGGTGACAGGGGGTGTGGGGTGCTGTGGGATCGGCCTGGGGTCTAATTTACTTGTGGAGTCAGCGCCATCTGGATTGCTAATGTGTTGCCGTTGATTACTGTTGAGCACAGATTCCTCAGTGTAATCATTTTGCTCCAGACTGTTGAACACTGAAGATAAGTTCAGGGTACCAGTATAGTCAGGGAAAAGTTTTAAAACGATGACATCAGCACAGATCGGGATAGGCGACCAACACTGGAGCAGTTTAGGAATTAACCACAGAGTACTATAATGGACAATATGTGCCACTAATGCTTTAAAAATCAGTGATTTGATGTTTATCCAGGTACAAATAGGCCACTGACTGTGAGCCTTCAACAAGTAATGTACGCTTTCTACAACAAATGTCTTCTTTTTCCTGTGCATCACCAGTCCCCCTTCATTTCAAACCATTATCAGTCAATAGACCGAACCCCTACCAGCATCTTTTTCCAAAACATAACCACTCCAAGCCCCGTCTGGATTTCACAAAACCTACCCAGGAAAGTTATACGAGCTGACTCAGAATGACCTGAAATACACTCCCCCAAAGTACGGTAGGTTGACTCGGGACTGACAAAAAAAAACCTCACTCAAAGTGGGTCTTGTCACATATCTATTAACTTGGGACCCTGCGGAAACACCCTGTACTCCTGCACTTAGCATCCTGCATCCTTCCTGACGAGGTTATGAGCTAAAGTTCCCCTCGTTATCACCCATTTCCTTCATATCTCTAGAACCGTACATGCGATTGGCACGTGGGTGGTAATGTTTGATTTGGGGTACAACTATTCAACCTACAAAAAGTTCTATACAGGCTGATTACTTCCAGCTATTCATACTTAGTGTAATTCTGTCTAGTTACTTTTATGGATTAAATAACTATGGATGCTTTAAGATATGGAATCAGAACGATGCCACCTTGAAACAAAACCGAAAAAAATATTGAAACCGAAAAAAAATATTGTAACTGAAATAAATGTACTGAAAAATCTTGTTTCGGTTTCAATCCATTTTTCGGTTTCAATCCACTTTTCAGTTTCACTCTGCTGGCACTGTTTTGGCGTCCGGGGCCGCATGTATTTGCATATATTATAATGCTGACCAATGACTGGAGAAAACACTGACGACACGCTGCGGTCACGGACAAACTTGCACGTGTCTGTTCGGGAATGGCAGATGCTGAGAGGTACAGCGTTTACATTACCGACTATTTCAAAGTGACAGCCTGAGGTGTTCTTCATTAAATTGGACTACCGGACAGGAGGACCTGAGGCCCCACCGCATTATTTTTGGTAAGTTAAATGTGTTTGTAAGCTAATCCGTAATTTAGGTCCTTAGCTAGCTACCTAGCCATCTTAGCTAGCTACCTAGCTAGCTAGTCGGGGAAACGTGTTTTGTATAGTTCGTTTAGCTAACCCGTGCAGGTGAATGAATTTACCCTGACTAAAGAAATCAAGAGAAACGCACCGGGCTGCTCAGTGACTAACCACGGTTACTGTACTTTTATATGAGTATTATACTGTAAGAGCAACAGGCTGGACTCTGCTTCTGCTCCTGTGCAGAGCTGATTATTAAATGTGTGCAAACAGCAGCATGTTTTCTGTCGCTTTCCACATGTGGAAGGACATTAACGCCAACTTTTAAAAACCTGGCACTTCAGTAACCCCTCATTAGTCAATAGCTACGGATTAAATAGCAAAGCCCGATACTTATGTACTGAAACCAACTACTTCCGCTTGTCAGCTTAAGTTAAAATGTTACTTTTTTTCCTCTGATTATTATTTTTTAGCATTTTTTACTGAGTTTGTTACAAATATTCAGGTTAAAAAACTGTTTATAAGCTTTATATTTCTGTTTGTGATTACAGGAGCTGTCCTCAGATTCAGACCTCACCACCACCCAGTGACAGCAGACAGATCATCCTATGTCTTCAATCTTTGTAGTAACTCCAAAATTAACTGAAGAAAACAGTACAAAGGTTAAAGTACCACATGTGCTGTCAGTGAAAGCTGCAGCTGTTTTATTGATAAAGTTAAAGACAAAGTCAAAAGGATTAATCACCCATGTAACTGTGTCACTATACATCAGCATTAACAGTACTTCAGTTTGGTGTTTCAGAAAACTGCTGATCTCAGACCTGCACAACTTCTGTTTTAAACACTGAATGTACTCAGCTACATGAAGAGCACATGATGTTTTCTGACACAATTAAATAAAACCTATTTAAAGTCAAAGGAATGGAATTCTGGAATTCTGAGTCATTCATACCAGAGTAACCAGAGAGCACAACATATATTTAACTTTCTACAGGACTTAAAGCTATTATATTATGTAAAAGTCCAGACCCTCTGAGGATTATTTGAGTACTTCTAACATTACACAAAGCAAAGGTCTTCATTACTTGCGGTTTGGAGGGTCAAGCTGAAATTGAAGCAGCCATTGAAAGACGGGAAGAGAGAAAGATTTTTTTTTTTCTTTTTATTTATAATTTGCACACATTTACAATCGCTCATTGGGAGACAACATTGGTGCAACAACATCTTGAAATGTTAAGTAAGAAAACAAATGAAATATGAGAAGACTAACAGAAAAACAAAAAACAATATAAATATGCGTGAAGGCCATTCTTATGACATTTAACAATAACCTTTCCGTGAACACTTTAACATACATCCGGCTTACTTGGTACACCAAACGAAACACATTCATTAAAAGGATAGAAACTGGGTCCCATTTTCACATATCAAAGCAGCATCTTTACATGAATCCTTCAGTAATTCTAAAGATGACAAAAAAGACTTTAATTCAATCTTCAAAGCACTTAGGGAAGGTCTTTTGTTTTGTCTCAATTTACACTTATGAATGTGGTATTTGCCCATAATTATTACCATATTGTGGAGCATGGCAAGTTCCTTAGACGGATCGCCATTATTGTATTAAACCTGTGTTAGAGTCAGTGGGGTCATCCCATCTATTCTTACACTCAACCAGTCTACCAAATCCTGCCAGAAGTCAGTCGTTACTGAGCAGGAAAAAAACAAATGATCAATATTTTCTTCATTTTGCAAACAAAATCCACATGGCTCCACCTCAAACCCAAACCTTTTTTAAGCATTTCAGCTGCTGGGTAATATCCATTAATTATTTTAAATTGCATTTCTTTGACTTTGGGCGGGATAGGCCATTTTTAAAAAGTGTGTATATTTGTTCGTTATTTTAACGTTACTCCCTTTTAATTTTGTGTTACTGTTAAAATTGTGAAATAATTCATTTTTGAATATATTGTTTATGATTTTATTATTACACTTTTTATTAGTTAAAGGAATCTGATTTAGCTGTAAAGAAGGTGAACTAATTTGTCCCTTAGAGTAATATAAATAGCCTTGTATCAAACTTAACAGAGGTAAGGGGATCGCCTTACAGACCTTGTTATATTCTCTAAGGGAACACTGAATGTTAAACTTTGCATTGAAAACACCCACTGGGAGAAACTGCCCCCTTTCATCAAGTAAATCTGTTATAAAGATGATGTTTTTTTCATACCACTCTTTAATGAACAATGACTTCCTATTAATTGTAATGGTCCTGTTATTCCACAAGGTGGAGCAATGTGGCATGAAGTTATGGGCAAAAACCATCT